CTCCACCCCCACCCCCCGGGTTTGTGCCCACCAACCGCCCCCGGTGAGCCCAGCCACGGTAACGGGTCGGCAGCATCCGGCACCTGTTGCCCTGAAGACACCCTCTTTCCGTTCCGGAGAAAACCCAGGGTTTCCTCACAGTGCTGTACTCAGTCATCGCTGGATCGGAGCGGACCGCCATAGCCGTTACTTCCCGGTAGCCGTGGACCCCTTTGTGGTGGTTAAAGGCCTCTGTCTAAGGGTGTCGTTCTCTTCTAGACTAAGTTTTAGAATTTCCCAAAGTTGTAGCCATGACGTTCTCAAAGCAGACCAGAACCCCAAACCAGAGTGTGCCAACTAAACATGATTCTAGACAAGTCCTCTAACTTGTCAATGATTCTTGTCCGAAGTGAGGGAAATTGTGTGAATGAAAACGCAGGTGATTGTGTGAATGAAAGGAGGTGAAAGATGCTGCTTTTAGCTTCCTGCTTCCCACATAAACTCCCTGCAGGGTACATAAGTACTCCGTCAAATATATATATTCATATACATACATATATATGTTTATTTTATGTGTATGGATGTCTTGTTTGCGTGTATGACTATGCACCATGTGACCATGTGCGTGTAGTGCCCTCAGAGGAGGGTGTTGGATCCTCTAGGCCTGGAGTTACAGATGGTTGTGAGCCGCCATATGGATGCTGGGAATTGAACCCGGGTCCTTTGGAAGAGCAGTCAGTGCTCTTCACCACTGAGCCACTTCTGCTGCCCAGTTACTTCCTTTTTAAAGCGAAAATACACCGTTTTTCATTGGTCATAAGGAGAGTTCTTTTCAGGTGATGTTGATTCCAAGGCGTGCTCAGTGAGATGGATGTTTTGGCTAGACGATGAGGCAGTTTGAGAGTTGCCCTGGGAAGGGCTATATGTCAGAAATTCCAGAAATGCCATTTTTAGTGCACATCTAAAAATCCCTGGGAAGCAATTCATAGTGCATAATATGCAGAGAGAGATAATCAGGACATTAAATGTAATAGTTGAAACGTCTGAACTTTTTAAAATAGGAATTTTAAAAATAAAGGAGAGTAAGAGGTAGATGGGTCCCTCTGTCCATCACTGTCAGCAATCATCAGTATTTTGCCATCTTTTTATGAAAATTGGAAACTGTTAAGTGTTGAAAACTAAACTGTAGTACATTTGGAATGCTGAGATACCTTGAGAACACTTCAGAATTGTATATATGGACCACAGCCATGAATATTCAAAGCCAAAGTAGCATGCAGTCCAGAAAAAAGACAAGGAAGCACCGTAAGACATCAGCTAATTTCCCTTTCGTGGTGGGAACCTGAGTGACCCTCACTGGTGTTATATTGCCGTGTTTAACAACTCTGGAAGTGCTGTGACTGATCTTCACAGCAGCATGGCAGAGCCAGTTCACAGCGACAGAGAATTCATTCATTAATGCTTTCACTTACCTTGACTGTGTTTGCAGCCACATTCTTGACTGCACCTGGAATTAGTGTTTGGTGTTGGGCCTTATGGTCAGTCTTCATATTCAAATCTTTAAGGATAGTTTTTAATTTTAATTACTTTTATTTAGTTAGTTGGAGTGAGGGGAGGTGTAGGGATTAGAAGATAAACTTCAGAAATGGGTTTCCCTCTTCAACAGTCCTGGTGGTTGAACTCAGGTCGCCAGGCTTGGTGGCAAGAGCCTTTGTCCCTGAGCCATCTTGCTGGCCCTGTATTTCCAAATCGTTACTAGCCAACTGTCTTCAAGGTGTAATTGATATTTCTGTAAACATTCATTCCACTTATTTCTACCGATGTTTCCCAGCAGGGTACAGCATAGTACCCTATGACAGGATGACACCCCCCCCCCCCACACACACACACATCATTCCTTTTCCTCATTGTCCAGGCAGGAATATAGCCCAGACTGTGTGCATTTACATACTTTCCTAAAACAACCATTTCAAACAATTGAAATGATGATGAACTCAGTTTTGTTTTTTTCTCAAATAGATTGCAATGGACTTTGACCAAAAGTCCATTTTGCTTTTGGTGAGGGCCAGAGCTTCTGTTAAACCGAGGATACACACATTTAAAGATGGTTAAGGGGGGAATCACTCTCCAAGACAAGGGGTGAATGAGCTTTGTTCCATGTCTATAAAGAAACCTTATTTCGTAGGTATGCAAAGAAGCCGCTTTGTCCTGATGACTTCAGAGATACTATGGATCAGTCCGGAGTTCTCCTCTGGGTAAAAGCAGAACCGTTTATAGTGGGTGCCCTGCAAGCCCCACCCCCCTCCAAATTCAGCCTTCACTACCTTAGGAAGATAGCCTCCTATGTGCGGACTCGGGCCACAGAAGGCGCCTACCCACGCCTGTACTGGTCCACATGGAGGCGCATTGCATGCGGAAAGCTGCAGCTGGCCAAGGAACTAGCGTGGCTGTACTTTGAGATATTCGATAATCTTTCGGTGAGGACACCGGAGGAGCGCCTGGAGTGGTCTGAAGTTCTGTCCAACTGCACGACCGAAGAAGAAGTGGAAAAGAAAAGAAATCAGGTATGGCTGATGTGTGTGTAGCCACTCTGAGAAGGAATCCATTCTTAAATCAGGTATGGATGATGTGTGTGTAGCCACTCTGAGAAGGAATCCATCTAGTTTGAGGTTTTAGGTTGTTAGCCATTGTGATTTTAAAGTGCCATTTGAATGTTAACATTTCCAGCTGTGATCAGTGAATTAGTCCTTTTACTTACTAGTCCATAGTTACCCACTCCTGAAGGAACCATGAATTGGCAGCTCTTCCATTGACTTTAAACATATTTTGGGCCAGTGAACTGCTGCTGTTACAGGTAGAGGCCCCTGAGTCTGCTGTGTGCAAGAATTAAATAATTATTATGACTGTATTTATTAATTTGCGCACTTTCTGTTGCTAATATGATAATGCCACAGACTGTTTTAAAAGAGCTTTATTGTGGCTCATAGTTCTGGAGATCCAAGGTCAAGAGGCCACTACAGCAGTGGTTCTCAAACCTGTGGGTCTCAACCCCTTTGGAGTCAGATAACCCTTTAACAGGGGTCACCTAAGATCATTGGGAAACACAGATACGATTCATACAGTAGCAAAATTACAGTTACAATGTAGCAATGAAAATAATTTTCTGGTTGTGTGTCACCATGAGGAACTGTATTAAAGGGTCGCAGCATCAGGAAGGTTGAGGACTACTGGGCTGTACCATTCTTGCTAGTAGAGAGCTGAAGTAGTACAGGAGGGCATCACATGGTGAGAGACATTTTTTCCCTGTGTGTGTACAATAGTCTCGCTTCCTCTTACAAAGCTTCCAGTATTGAATCTCAGGGCTCTGATCTGATTGTTTAATCCTAATCACCTCCTAAGTTCCTCCCGACACTATAGTCACATTGTTTTTACCCTCTTAGTGCCTCACCATGAGGATGAATTTCAACATGAATTTTCAGAATGGACAAATCATATTCAAGCCGTAGCATTCTGCTCTGTCTCTTGCTCCACACAGCCCATATGCTCACAGAATCATCTTCCGTAAATAGTCCCACAGTCTTAACTTATTCCAGCCTCAGTTAAGAACTCTAGCGTCTCATTTGAGATTCAAGGCAAACTCTTCAGTTGTGAGGCTGTAAAATCAAGTTATCTACTCAGAATATATAGTGGGACAGGCTATGGAGTAGGTAAATACTTTCATCCCCAAGGGAAAGTAGTAACTGGCCAGGTGTGGTAGCACAGGCCTTTAATTAATTCCAGCACTCAGGAGGCAGAGGCAGGTGATCTCTTTAGGTTTGTGGCCAGCTGGGTTGACAGAGCAAGTTCCAGGACAGCCAGGGCTATTAATACAGAGAAACCCTGTCTCGAAAAACAAAAAAAAAAAAAAAAAGAAAGAAAGAAAAAGAAAAGTAGTATTGGCCCAGAGCACATCCTTACACCATCAGGGCAGGGCAGACACAAGTTGTTAAAACTCCAAACTCTCTTGTCTTGGGTTGGAGTTGCACCCCTAAAGCCTCACGTAGCTCTTCCTCTGTGTCTTTGCTAGGCTCAGCCCATACTTCAGCTCTCAGTTTAGGGTCTCATGACTGCAGCTTTCTCAGGTTGGCACTGTAGATTGGTAGTTCCCAGTTACAGAGTCTTGGTGGTAGTCTCATGCTTCCGGTTTCATTGGGCATTGACCCTCTTTAGCAGGACCCCAAAGACAGGCCTCAGTGTGGCCTCTTAAGTTTTGCTTTGAAATCTGGGTGGAAGCTGCCATGCCTCCGTAGCTCTTGCATTGTGCATGCCTACAGTATGTGTTACACTAAGAGCTGACGTTAATGTTATCAGCTGTACCTGGGCTTCCTTGAACTTAGCCGAGGTGGCCAACGAGTGCTCTTCTGGAAAGCAGGGAGCAGAAAGTGAGAACTTAGGGAGCACGCTCTGAAACAGTTCTTTCCTGTAAGCCCCTGGCCTGTGTTGGAGAAGTAGCCCCACAGACTTCTGCGGTCCCTCTCCTATTGTCCTGATGCATCTGGCTTCATTTTATCCAGGCTGATCTCTTTTGCAAGGTTACTGGATGCACCCCTGCATGATTTTTCTTTGCTCTTTTGCGGATGACCTGCAAATCTTTCACATCCTTTTGCTTTGTTTCCTTTGAAATTTTGCATTCTATTCTTAGATGGTGCTTCTACACCCGTCTTGGTGCAGTTAATAGGTAACCCGGGGACAGCTTGACTGCTGTGTTGTGTCAGTATTTCTTCTGCCAGACACCCCGGTTCATCACTTGTAAATTCTGTCATCCATAAATCTCTAGGTGGGTACAGACACAGCCCTCTCACAAGAGCTAACTCAAGAGTCCTGGGAGAACTGTGTCTCCTCCAAGGACAGTACTCTCAGCAAGGCCTCCTGCTAGACCCCATCTCCTACAGGTCCTCCATCTTCTCACGTTTCCACCCTGGGGTCCAGCTTCAACTCACGACTCACTGGAGGACAAACTACATCCAAACCATAGCAGCATCTCTGCCGCCAGGCACTCCATAAGCTAGTAGGAACGACTGGTGTGTATAACGGCCACACGTTAAAGTTCAGAAATGGACTTGAACGTGATTCATTCTTGTGTAGGAATGACTTCACAGACTATATTAGTTATGTACAGCAGTTTAATTATAGTAACAGCAGCCTAGGCCAGTGACAGCTTGTTTCTCATTTGTCCCACACTCCTACGCGGCTGTACGTGATAGGGTGAGTCTCTGGCCCTTGTCCAAGCAATGGCGCAAGGAACCATGTTTCTCTATTTTGGAGTCACTTAGTGTTAAATGGCCTTGCTGAGGGGACAATGAAATAAAACAATGAAATGCAACGGCCTAGGGTCACAACAGTTGACTTCTTACTTCTTTACCCAGAGGCCGCATGAGCTGTGGCTCTCTTCCAGGTTGTGGTTGGCCGTGGGAAGAATTGCTTCTTTGTAGACCATGCCTGTTCTTATCACAGATGGGGAGAGCAACAGAGTGGGAGGAAGTGGATGCCTTTCCCCCCTCAGGATGAGATTGAGAAATAGGTCTTTACTGCGAAGCAGTCACCGCTGTAAAGGCCACAGACATATCTGTCACCTTCCTAAATCCCTCCTACAGCCATCATTAGTATTTTACTACTGCATATATTAAGCACACATAAGTTCTAACTCCTTAGAAAACTGTGTATTTATTGCAGTATTGTTAGCTGGGGGCATGGTGCTGTATTACAGACCTGAAGAACTAAATTACCTGTGCAGTTGAGACTTGGTTAGCTTTTGACCATTGTCTAGTTCCCTCTTCTAGCATTCGACAGTCACTGTGCTTCTGTGGACTTAACTCTTTAGATTTCACGTGTGCTGTGATTTGGGTGTGGTTGGAGTGTCTTCCACAGAATCCCATGTTGGATTTTAATGCTCATTGTGAGAGATTAAGAGGGCACAGACTTAGCCTGAGCAAGATTTGATGGCACAGGCCTGTTATCCCAGCTGTTAAACAGGCAGGAGGATCACAGGTTCAGGGCAGCCTGGGCTACAGAGTGAGTTTAAGTCTAGCCTGGGTAGCTTAGTCTCAAAATAAAAAATAAATAAAATACATATATAGTATGTATAAAAAGATTCTAATGACTCCACCAGACAAACATTCTCAGAAAAGTAGCAAGACAGAAGGACAGTGTGTACAATGAATAGTTTTTCTGTATACTAAGAACAAGCTTGCTGAAAAAGAAGTAAGGGGAAAAACCCAAGCAAACAACCTTGGATAAACTTACCAGAGGACGTGAAGGACTTCTACAATGACCATTTTTAACACTGAAAAAGGAAATGGAAGAAGACACAGAGAATAGAAAGGGCACCAATGCTCACAGATTAACAGGAGTAATATTGTAAAAAATGGCAATATTACCAAAAGGGATCTACAAGTTCTATACACTCAAAGTTTTGTGATGTTCTTTATAACACTAGGAAAAAATTCATATAGAAGCACAAAAGACCCTGAATAGCTGAAGCAGTTCTGTGGTGAAGGAGCAAGGCTGGAGATGCCACAATGGCTGATCTCAAATTCTAGTAAGGAACCATAGTAACAAGAACAAACGTGTAGACTAATAGACAGACAGAGGACCCAGAGAAAAGCCAAGCACGGCTACAGCCACCTGATCTCCAACAGAGGCGTCAGAAGCACAGGGAGAAATGGTATCATCTTCAGTTAGTGGTACCCGGAAACTGGATATCCGTGTGTGGAAAAATAACAGTGGGCCCTGTTTTCTGAATAAAACCAGTGAAAAATGCATCAAATGCCTGAAACTCTAGGAGTGTCAGAGGAGGCCAGCGTCAGGTGTAGACACAGACAAGGACTTGCTGAAAAGGACTCAGAACACAGGACATAAGCTCAAGAATTGATGCTGGGGATGTGTGAGGTTTAACACTACACAGTAGGGAAGGAAATACTCAGAAGAGCGAGGAGACCGTCACAGACGGAGAAATGCAGACCACACAGCTAGCTCATGGGGTTGATCACTACAAAGAACTGAGGAAATTCAACCAAATGAACAACACAGCCAATACATGAGTAAAGGAATTGGATAACAAGTCCCAAAAAAATGTAAGGGGCAATAAATATATGAGGAAAATGTTGTGTCTTTAGCCATTGGGGAAATGCAAATTCACAGTGCTTTGAGAATCCAGCTTACCACAGTCGGAATGGCTGTAGTAATGACAAGTGACAAGGAGCACTGATGAGGACATGGGAAAAGAGGAATCCTCACGTCCTGCTGATGGAATGGAAACAAGCCGCCATGGAAACCAGCAGGAAAGTGCGTACCCAAGGGTGTCTTAAGTGGGCATACCAAGAGAGGGTAAACACTACTTAGTAGTCAGGATACAGAATCTATCTAGTTGTCCACCAATAGATAAATGAATAAAGAAAATGTATATATACCTAATGGAATTTTATTCAACTGTAAAAGAATGAAAGTCTATAGTTATTACTAGTACGTATGATTCATGTGTAAGATAGTGTCATAACAAAGCCTGTTGCTTCATATAATGAGTATGCACTAATAAAATTAAAAAATCACACTCTAAAACCTAATCTAACTACAGTGTTTAGAGATGGGGGCCTTTGGAAAGTGATTAGGATTAGATAAGATCATTAGCGTAGACTTAATATTGATGGATTTGTGAGAGAGATAGAACAGACAGATAACATTCCACTCCCACTCTGGCCATCTGATACTCCCAGGCCACTTTGTGACTCTGGCCGAAGAAGACCACTACCGGATGGATTCCTTGTACTTGCAGAACTGTGAGCCAAAGTAACTTCCCTTTTTACAAAGTAGGTTGCCATGCATATTTCATTATACTACCAAAAGTAGACTAATACTCCATACAAAGGAAGTCATGTTTATCTTTCTGTGTCTGCCTTACTTTGCATGTGTTTTGTTCCTATCCATGGGTAGGGCTCTATAGGTCTCTGGAAAGATGGAACTCAGACAGAGAGAAGTACAGTTGCCCTGGCCCTGCCAAATAGGACCCGAATCTTTGGTTTCTGTTTCTTCAGTTTTGTGGGCCAGTCTTGAAGTGGCAAGTATGAATTCATCTTCATTCCATTGACTGTTACTCATAGTAACTCCTAATATTAGCTGCAGCAGAGACTGGGAAATGAATGGCGCCTGTATGTGTGCCCTGGGAGCAGAGAAGGACTTAGCATCTATCCAGTGTCAGTGTCGGCACCATGGGCTAATAGCTAAAGACAGTTTTGGAAACTGGAGTTTTCCCCACAACCACTAGGTGGAGGTACTGCAGTGGTTAGATGCTAGGTAGAGTAGTAGTGCCTGGACATGAAGGTGAAGAAAATGTTAAGAACCATCCACATTTTCTGAGTACTTCTTCTGGTTGCTATGGATATTAAAGTAGAAAAGGAAGACTCTACTGTCTCATGGGAGACTGCCTGAAGCTGTAATGATTGTTAAACTAGCTGTATAAAATAAAGGAATTTATGCTGTGAAGAAGGCAATCTATGAAAATAATTGTTACTGGTGATCAGGGCCCAGCTTGGGTGTTTCTTTATCCAAGAATTGAAAATAAGGCTCCTGCAGGTTTACAAAAGAAGCAAGGTAATTTTATTTGGAGCAGAACAGTAGTGTGGATCAGGAGGGATACATTGTCAAGACTGACAGCAGGCCACAGGACTGAAGACATTGAACGGCCCTGGGCTGTAGCCTAGGCCTTCTTATGGAGTATGAGAGAAGGAAGGGCTGGAAATAGGGTGGGTCTCCGTTTTGATTGATAGATTGGATCCTGTATTCATTTTTCCTACTGCATGTGAACTTCCCCACAGTGCATCAGATTTTAATCCAGTGCATCTGATTTACTATCCAATTATGCATAGGCATAAGATGGTAAATAGAGGATTCTCCCTTAAGGGTTTCTAGAGATCACAATTTTATCTTATTCTGCATATATCCAAAACCAGTTCAGGCTGGATCAGCCCTTCTAGTCCTTATACCTATATACATTGGGGCCATGCTTGAACAGAAACTGTAGATTTCATTGTTACTGGGGCAGGGAAGCACACCGTGTTATTCAGATATGGAGTGTGAGTAACCTGGTACAGGTGGGGGTTGAGTCCTGAGGTCGCTAGGCACAGTGTTTAGAGAAGGGCTGTGCGTGCATAGTGTGTCAGGTGAAGGAATGTTTGGAGAAGGCTGTGAGTGCATAGTGTGTCAGGTGAAGGAATGTTTGGAGAAGGCTGTGAGTGCATAGTGTGTCAGGTGAAGGAATGTTTGGAGAAGGCTGTGTGTGTATAGTGTGTCAGGTGAAGGAATGTTTGGAGAAGGTGGTGTGTGCATAGTGTGTCAGGTGAAGGAATTAGGCTCTAAGTGTGCTGTTACATGATGGAGGTACCCACAACCTCATGGGGGCCCCAAGCTGCATTAGTTCCTGTGCTTGCCTGCCTCAGTGTGATTCCTCATGTGTAATCTTCTTAAAACACTGAGATGAAGAATTGTTAATGGATGCCAGGAGGCAGGGGAGAGGTGAAAGGTGGTAAGAAGGAGATCTTCTGGTTGATGTTCTCTTCCTGCACAGTTTCAGTGTAGAGATCCTAGCTGGGATCCTGGTCTAGTTTAAAGATGGGAAGCTGGGTGAAGCATGTGGGGGATCGGTGTTGTTTCTTACATCTCTGCAGAAAGTTTAAGAATGTAAAGAAAGGGGTAGTTTAGCGGGTAGAGTGCTTGCCTCGCATTGCCACATCCCTGGGTTCACTCCCTGACACTGAATGAACTGGATGTGGTAGTACATGCCTCTAACCGCAGCACCAAGGAGATGGGGGCAGGAGGGTCAGAAGTTCAAGATCGTCTTTGGCTGCATAGCAAATTAGAGGCCAGCCTTGGATACATAAAACCCTTTCTAACTTTGTAAATGTATTGACTTCACAGTTGATGCTCGGTTAACTGGATTTGGGTGATCTGGGAATCTGTTTTTCAGCTTCTTGGGTATGGGTTGCTCTCTATTGCTATGTTAAAACACAGGCCAAAACCAATGTGGAGAGGAAAGGACTTGTTGGCTTAGAGGTTACAGTCCATCCAGGAAAGCCAGGGCAGGAACTCAAGCAGGCGCCTAGAGACAGGAGCTGAAGCAGAGACCAGAGAGGGTGGTGCTTGCTGGTGTGCTCCTCCAGCTTGCTCAGCGTGTGCTTTCTTACTCAACCTAGGACCACCTTCCCAGGGCGGACGCGACTCAGGGTGGGCTGGGCTGTCTTCTGTCAATCATTAATCAAAAAGATGTCCCACAGGCATGGCCACAGGTTACAATCTCAGGGTCCTCTAGCTCTTGTCAAGTTGACAAAAGACTAACTAGCACACTGGGTTAGAAATCTTAGCCAGAGATTTCGGAGGGTCTGAGTATGGACCCAGGCACGTCACTTCACTGTTTCACTCCTGTGTGTATTGGGATGGGAATGTGAAACTCGTGAGCTTCGAACCACACCCTTCCTCAAACAGGATGACAGAGAATAGTAGTGACTTTTGGTTTTGGTTGTATGTAGTTTTGTTTATTTTAAACGATCTCACTGTGTAGCCCAGGATGGACTCAGACTCACGATCCTTCCTCCTTAGCTTGCTGAGTGCCAGGATTATAGATGTGCAGCCAGACCAGCATTTTCTTTAAGTCAAACGTTTTAAGAATTTTACAAGAGCCGGAGGCCCATTTGCCTCCAAAATGCACATGCATAAGGAACTGAGCAGCTCTGGTGGCCGCACGGATACCGGCTTCAGTTACTAGATTGGTGTCCTGGATTTTCTTGGTCAGCCTATGAACCTCATGCTTTATTGAACTTCCTTCTTTTCTCCTTGCATCTGTTCATTTACTGTTGGAATTACTGAGGCTGCTTTTTCACCTGTACTTTTGGAAAGGACATTGGTTTTCAGAACAATTTCCTATAATTTCCTATGAAGTGACTCCAGTTACGTAGTTTAGAAATTCCTCTGTCTGGGCATCAAATGATAGCCATTTCTAAATTTGATGTTTTTAAGATCAAGAAGCCATGTAACCCTAGTTTACTATATACTGAATTGTAAGTGATACGTGTATTTTTAAGGTGTGTTCATCTTTTATTTCCTGGACAGCTTTCAGTGGATACCCTGCAGTTTCTGCTCTTCCTGTACATCCAACAGTTAAACAAAATCTCCCTGCGGACATCGTTGATTGGGGAAGAGTGGCCCAGTCCCAGAAGCAGACCGCAGTCTCCTAGCCTAACTGAAAGGACCAGTTGTCACAATAAGGTATTGCTCATATCTTGTAAAGGAAATGCTTCCCCTTCATTGCAAAGTATTTTGGAATGAAGCCAGGCATCATAGAGTATGCTTGTAACTCTAGCTCCTGGGAGGCTGAGCCAGGAGGGTTATGAGTTCAAGGCCAACCTGGGCTATTCAATGAGACTCTAGCTCAAAAACATACAAACAAACAAATAAACAAAAACAACTTTTGCCCCCTCTCCCCCCCTTAATTGCTTAAGTAATTTTTATGTGTTTTAACAACTGTCTCACATAATTAACTCTTCACATAATGAGTCTTCGAAAGGTCTTACTGCTTTTTCTTTTCCATTTTAAAGAAAAACAAGTATTTCCATCTGCTTTCTTGGTGTGGGAAGTGTGTTGAAAGCTATAAAGTGTAAACCATAGAACCATATGAAGGCTCTTTTTTAGTGTGGATGTGCCATAGCATGGCTGGAGGTCAGAGGACAACTTACAAAGGCCGGTTCTCCTCTTTCGCCATGTGGCTCCCAGGGCCTGAACGTGGGTCACCAGGCTTGGCAGCAAGCATCTTTATCTGTGGAGCCATCTTGCTGGCCCCAGGCACATCATCTTGTCTAGCCAATCAGTATTTCAGTATTAGGGTTGGGTTCACTGAAGTCTTTTCTTTCCCAGCTGCCTACTCAGTTCCTTTAGGCACTTGAAGCCAGCCATCAGGGAGGCAGTTTTCGGTCAGGTTGAGATGGGTTTCTCTGTCACTGAGCCAGAGTCCAGTGTCTTCAGCAATAGGATCTTCCCATGTAGTTATGGTGAGTAACCAGGGTCAAGGACAATAGCTTGTGTTGCTTGGGAGGCTTCTGAGGCCTCTGAGACCTGAGGTGAGATGAAATCTTCATGTAGTTTTCATCTGCATTCCCTTAGGACTTTTTAAAGTGTTTCCTAGCCATTTTCCTATCTCTTTGGAACTATTTTGTTGAATCCCATTACCTGTTTTTAATTGGGTTCTTTATTTTCTTTTTTTTTTTTTTTTTGGTTTTTTCGAGACAGGGTTTCTTGGTGTAGCTTTGCGCCTTTCCTGGGACTCACTTGGTAGCCCAGGCTGGCCTCGAACTCACAAAGATCCGCCTGCCTCTGCCTCCCGAGTGCTGGGATTAAAGGCGTGCGCCACCACCGCCCGGCGGGTTCTTTATTTTCTTAATATTTAATTTTTTGATTTCTCGGTATACTGTCGACCTTAATCCTCTGTCAGATAAGTAGCTGGCAAAGGTCTCCTCCTATTCTGAGAGGAGGAAATCTTTGCTTTCCTGTCAATTTCCTTTGCTAGACTTTTTATTTTCCTGGGATCCTGTTTGTTGATTGTTGGTCTTATTTCCTGGGCTATGGTAGTAGTATGCAACTTTAATCTTTAATAAACAGTAAAATTGCATGTATTCTGAAGGATTGTTCTAAAATTTTTTTATCAGTACAAGTCAACCCATTTTTTTTCCACAAAGAAATTGTATATTTGCTAAAAATACCTTAATTTTTAAGTTTGACAGTTCCTTAAAAGGGAGGATTTTGTCACACATTTCTTTCACTCTGGAAAATGGGAAGTGAACATAACAGTGTCCGCCAGTCACTTCCCTCGGTGTCCTCCAGCATGGCAGGCGCAGGCGGCCGGGCCGGCGTAGTGTACACCCCACACAACTGGAGACTTCACAAAGCAGCCTCAGTCAACAGGACAAAGTACTTCGGAGTTAGTTTTTCAGAAACAGCTATTATTATTACTCTCATTCCACAAAACTCTTGAAAACAATAGAAAAGAAGGGAAAATGTTGTATGAATAGGAAGGAAATCAGTTCCTAGCATTTGCCTTCTGAACTTTCTCATTCTTTTTTCTTAATAGTAATAATGTTTGGAATTCAAATTTCTGTCTGTCTGTCTGTCTCTGTATTTAAGGGGTGCACCATCTACACAGGGCATCTCATTGAGCCTAGGGCTTACTGCTTTGGGACTGGCCTGGCAGCCAGAAAGCCACAGTGACCCTCCTGTCTGCCCTGCTCCCCCCTCCCAGGGGCTCTACACTTCACAGTGAGTGCTGGGGGCCACATTCAGGTCCTCATGGTGTAGAGCAAGCCTCCGTTCACACTGGGCCGTCTCCACAGCCCTCTTCTGGTTCTCGCGTGTGTGGGTCTGTGTGGCGGCTTCTGTATCGGAGCACGCTGTGTCTCCAGCACTAGACACTGGAATTTTCTTCTTCTGTTTTTCCGCTTTCTTGGTACTGATTTTGCTTTCAAACCTCCTTTCATTCCCACGGCACAGAGTCCAGTGCCGTCATCCTTGCTTCCAATGGCTTTAGTCTTGGTGAAAGAATATTGCGTACATTTTGATGAAGATTGTTTTCAATATTAATTTCACAGTTTCCATTTACTCAACAATTTCATCTTGCTTAGCCCCCTACCTTTGAAAACATTTCTCCATCAAACCTGTAATGTTTTCTCTGTATCTAAGCTTGGGATTTCTTAATGTAGTTAGAATTTTTAAGTTCTCCTTCTAAGGAAGGTGTAGCAGCCACTGGAGCATATGATAACCCATCTTGATGGGCCACACCATTGTGTGCACCAACACTTGTGAGTGCAAGAGTGTATCACAGCAGCTTCTGAAGCCCATCTGGACAGTAAGCAAGACCATATTGTTCCAAATAGACCTGCCAAAATTCTGGTTGCTCAGAACAGTTGAGGCCCTGCTATTGCTCAACACTTGTGGAGATATCCCAGAATACCCAGAATTCTTAGGCTTAATTAAAGAGTGGTTCTGTTTCATATATTTTCTGAAGATCATTCTTTTTGTTTATTTGTTTGTTTGTTTTCCCCCTGAGCCAGAGTTTCTCTTTGTAGCAGTCCTGGAAGTTCTGAAACTCTCTTTGTAGACCAGGTTGGCCTCGAACTCACAGAGATCTGCCTGAGTTCTGGGATTAAGGGCATGTACCACCACTGCCTGACTCTGAAGGTCATTCTTAAAGGGATCCTTTATTATAAACCTGTAACTTTTCCCATTTTTAGTGTAGGTCAGACCATCTAATATGTAAGATCAAAATACTTCCCTTTATGGGAATAAATCCATTTCTGAATTTGTTCAGGTTGAACAGCTCACTGGTAGAACCATTCAGTAGAAGGAAGTCCGTTGTTACTGGGTTCCACTTTACAACACAGGTTGTGCGTATTAGTCAGGGTTCTCAAGGAGCAGTACCGATATTAAAAGGGATGTATTAGACTGCTTACCGGATGTAGTCCAGGTAGTCCAGCAATGGCTGTCTCACAGTAGAAAGGCCTAGAATCTGGTAATTATTGAGTCCATAAGTGCCACGGACTGGCCCATCAGGGGTACCACGACCATAAGGGACCAGGGCTTGGGTAGTCAGGAAGGCAAGGATTCGGCGAATGACAAACAGACAACACACTCAGAAGTGGTTTGAATCTGCTGCAATTTTACTTCTGCAAATCAGTAGTTTATATACAGAAAAGAAAACTATCAAGTCATACAGGGAACAACAAGAGCTTGGCAATAATTCCATTACATCATCTTTTAAAAAACAGCAAGCACACAATTATTAATCGGCACTAGACATATCTCTTCACCCACAAGAACTTTATGACCCAAAGAGCAGTCTGTGTTCTTTAAACTTAGTACATTTCCTAGACTTGTGTAGGCTTCTAGCAGCTGTGTCCTTCATCTTTATCTCAGCCGCTCGCTAGTTTATTATTCATTTTTACTTTTCTGGTTCTCATGACCCATTTAGCCAATTTGGATGCTGCAGATCCTCCCTAAGTCTTTCTTTAGTTCTTTTATCACATATCTCTTTTAATATAAAACCTTTTTACCTGCTGGAATATGAACTCTTGTACTTTTACACCTGTAAGGGGAGGGGGTTCTGCTGTAGTCCTTAAGTTTCCCATGCTGAACTTCCTCAACAGAGGGGTCCACCATCTGCCTCCTATGAGATAACATCTTTTGTCATAAATCACTTTAGTTGGGATTCCTAAAGGATCCTAGTGGGTGAGTGTTCATTCCCTAGAAGTGCCGGAACTATTATACTTTCTCTATCTAGCGGCTTGGGGTCTTTAAGGAATAGCTCATTCTGCTATTCCTAAATAAGGTCCATGTCCAGCTTCCCCTTTCCTCCATAGTTCACAACCCAAGCATTCATTAATTTTGGCTGTGCTTCATAGATTAATTAGAACATTATCAGAAAAGCAGTTATACAGAACCCAAAGCACAGAGAGCTCATGATCTGTGAAGCACATCTTATTTGAAAAGGAGGCATAACACGGGCACTCTGCCAGGGACCTCCAGGGAGCTTAGTCCTGTGGGACACGTATCTCCCGTCCGCTATTATTGACATAATTGTTTATGTCACACAGACGACACTGGAGTTGGTGTGGCACATAAGGCTGCATGTCTCTGCAGTCCCATTCTGGTGCTGTATCCTGGAGGATTCCCGGAGAGCTGCTGGTCTTTAGTCTGTGCTGGAATCCTGAAGAAGTTATATTTAATCCCAGCCTCAGCCAGGGTCGAGTGAGGGTAAGCAGGCACAAAGCAAAGCTTCCTTCTAGGTCCTCTATTTGGATTGCCACCAGAAGGAGTGACCCAGATTTAGGGTGGACCTTCCTACTGCAAATAATTAATTAAGAAAATCCCTTAGAGATGTGCCCAACCGCTTGGGTTTTAGTTGATTCCAGATGTAGTCAGGCTGATTCCAGATGTTGTTAAGCAGCTATGATAGTATGTCATTGCCATGCGATTTGGAAGAATTTCTATCAGTAAGATGTTATAGCCTTGCCCTCTGTGACCAGTAGGCAACTCTAGTTTCTATACCATTTTTGATATATTGTTTATTCTCTCTAGGTGCAAATTGTTCTGCAAGATGTCTGCTTGCAGAGTTGTCTTTCAGCCTCAGCTGCTTTTAAAGAGGTGTTCTTCACACAAGTAGCTGACCCTCCATCTTCTGCCCAGTGCAAACTTCTGCTTTCACCTTAAAATAAATTTCTTAC